CTTTGAAGTTCTTAATATCTCACACAATACTGTAGTATTAGAAGACTTCAACGCCCATTCCACCAGATGGGACTATAAGAAAAAAACAAGCAAAAGAAAAACCTTTGTGTCAGAGAATCTTCAAGAGGTATAAATATACAAGTAAGACAGTTTGTTGAAATTAAGGAAGACGCAACAATACCAAGTAATGTACTTACTGAACCATTCAGACCTAGAAAACTTAATGCTACGATAAAACAGCTAAAGTGCAAAAAATTTAGTACCGAATACGGTATTCATCCGGAATTTCTAATTAGAATGGGACCAACAACCAAGGAAACCAAGCTGACGATTTTCAACAAAATCTGGGAGACCAGTCTCCTACCTAACCAGTTGTCATAGTAAAACCAGTAACAAAATGTGCAAAGACCCTAACAACTTTGACAACTATAGGCCAATCTGCCTCACAAGCGTGCTGACTAAACTTATGGAAAGAATGGTTTAAGGAGGCACACCTGGTTCCTTGAGACTAACAATATTCTTAGGTGTGAACACCTGGCTTAACTTATGGAAAGAATGGTTAACAGGAGGCTGACCTGGTTCCTTGAGACCAAGGGTATTCTTAGGAATAAATAAGCAGGTTTTTGGTCACAAATATCAACTAACCAACAAGTAGCCACTTTCTTCCAACGCATCAAAGATGCCCTTGATGCACGCAATACCCTTACGGCTGTTTTCGTTGATTTCAAATCAGCATATGACTTATTATGGAACGAGAAGCTAATTCTAAAATTGGCAAGTATTGGTATTAAGCATAGCATGCCAAACTGGATAAAAGCATTCATTGGACAAAGATCATGTAAAGTCAGATATGGAAATGCTCTATCAAAATCCAATCTTTTGGGACCTTCCCCAGGGAGCTGTCACAAGCTGCACTCTTTTCAATTTTCCACAGGGAGCTGTCACAACCTGCACTCTTTTCAATGTTGACAGGGAGCTGTCACAAGCTGCACTCTTTTCAATGTCTTCATCGATAAATTAGTACAGACGGTCACGGGCATCAAGTGCTTACTTTACGCAGATGATCTTGTTCTATGGTATTCCGCCCCTAAGAGAAACGTTCAGAAGAGGACAGAAAGTGCACTAAGTTGGGCACTTGAACTACTAGCAAACTGGTGCGACAACAATGGAATAGTTATCACAGGCGCAAGAATACTACCATAGAAAAAACCAAGCAAACATGGAAAAGTCACATTGATAAATAGCAGAACGAGTCTCTTATAGACTAAATGTACTGAAGCGTCTTGCTGATAGCATATAGGGCTGTGCACACTCAACTCTTAACACCACTTACAGGATGTTTATTCAGCCAATAATGTTGTATTGTTTGGAGACCACTCATAACAGCCACAGAGGTGACTCTCAAACCCCTCGTACAGCCACAGAGTTATTGCTGTGAGCCACTCATTACAGCCACAGAGGTGACTCTCAAACCACCCGAGAAGGCACACAACGACTATAAGTATTACGAATAATGACTGAAGGGACAAAATCGAAACCCATTGATGCAATTCTTCTGGTTAAAGGGAACGCCACAATATGTTCTCTTATGAAAGAGAAGGCCTTGATCCTGTATGAGAAGCTACTTCGCATTTCCATGGATAAATTCGTCAGCACCTATGCGAATAGACCAAGACATCTGAAAACGCAATCTGGTCTAATGCAGAAATCCATAGAACTGAAGAAAGCATTCCTCGTCTTATAGACCAAGACATCTGAAAACGCAATCTGGTTTAATACATCCATAGAACTGAAGAAAGAATTACGAATCGATGACAAACCAAAACGTCTCCCTCTTCCCATGAACCCATTAGCAGACACTGATGTAGTGCGTTGCACCCAACTGGTTGACTACTTCGGGAATTCAAACACCACTCCAGAACAAATGCGCCCACTGGCCTTTGAGACAATCAATGCCAACTATTCTGCAGATCAATGACTTCAATGACTTCTACTGATGGATCTTACATAGAAAACCAAGCGAACGTTGGTGCAGGTGTCTATTCTGACCTCGTCTCTTTCTATGCAGCAGCGGGACACCACAGATTCGTTTTTGATGGAGAAAAAGGGGCCTCAAGATGCAACGAACTTAAAGCTCGAACAAAGGAGAAACAGTGGTCAGTGGAACTCTCCGACATAGCCGACTGGCCAAGAATCGAGGTCGTTGCTTCGTTTGGACTACGTACCGGACACGATTGCCTGACAAAACACCTTCA